TGAGATCTGAGGAGCTCCCGGTATCTATGAGAATTCGGCCAACTCTCTGGTTGGCCACTTTACATTCAATAACGAGAGGGTCGTCATGCGGCCCCCTTACCCCTCCTAGATCCTCTTCAGTGATGACAATCTCAGAAAATGTATATTTGGACGGCCGTTCTTGGTGAACGGAATTTACATCTAGCCGCCTTATATTATCTTTGTTGCCCCTAATAGTGGGGCCGCCTCCTGAGAAGCCGCCTGCAATGGTGTAGACGACTGCATCATCTGTATCAGAACTTTCAGCCTGTTGATTCTTTTTGGACGACTGCTTTTTTGAGGAAATGTTCCCCGTAGGTTTCTTGACATAAGTGTCAAGATCACCTTGCTCAGCCAAGCGGTCTAGGTACCGCATGAGACTGATGCAGTCATTGGTGTGATGACCAACGTCATCATGATAAGCACAGATATTATCTTGGTTCCGGTTGTTTGCAGAACCCTTCATGGGGAGCGGCTTCTCAATTGAGAACCGTCCCTTTATTTCTTTTAGGATAAACTGGTTATCCTTGTTAAACACATACTTTGGGGAGTATGGTTTGAATTCTTTTTTCTTTTTCTGGGCCGGCTGTTTAGAGGAATCAGCCGCCCAGACCTCTTTTCTTTTCTCATCTTTGTTGGACGACTGTTTCTGTCGTCCCTCTCTTTTGTCGAACCTTTTCCCGTCCGACTGTTTTATTGTACACAGATCAGTCGCCTGTATATAGGCTTCTGCTTCAATCAAGGCCTCTTGAAGAGTCGCCACCCTTTTTCGAACTAAATCAAATTTGAAGGTAGACCCGTCTTTGAGACCTCTAAAAAAGTCAGTATAAGCTACCTCATCCGGTAACCCTTGAATCTGTATTCTCATCAGATTGAACCGCCTGATGTAAGAACGAAGCCCCTCCTTCTCGCCCTGCTGAATTGTTCCCAAATCAAGGGTCGTTTTCTTCGCAGGGATGTTCATAGCGAAGTTGGAGGCAAATAAGTAAGCAAGCGTCCTGAAGCTGTTTACACAACCAGTCGGCAGGTTGCCGAACCATTGCTGTGCAATTCCCTTGAGAGTCGCTGGGAAACACTTGCACCAAGTGGGATCATCCAACCCTTGAAGGTACATCAGGTTGGTGAATGCCATCAGGTGGTCTTCTGGGTTAGTAGTGCCGTCATAGGCGCCTACTAGAACATTTTTTACTTTGGCCGGCTGAGCGGCTTCAGTAATTTCCTTGGAGAAAGCCGATGGCTGTTCACCAAGTCTAAGCAGCCGTAGCTGCCAGTCCATAGGTTGGACGTTTTTTGCTGCAGGTCCACCAAATGGAGGTGGCTGCATAAAATACTGTTGTTGCGGCACAAATGGTAAGTTTGGTACCGCCTGGGCACTATGAAAGCCGGACTGACGGGAGGTGCCGCCTGACTGACTCTCATGGTACGACTGAGTATGCCTCATCGAGGCATTTCGCAAACTGTCTTGAAAATTTGAAGTAGAAGCCGACTCTGATAATCGGTCACTCTTCTTCTGCTCTAGCAGGAGCCGAGCATCTGTGAACGTTTTCTTTGACCCATCCGCCTGAATATGACGAACCGGTTTCCTATTTCCCGTAGGATAACGGAGTTTTGTGAAATCAAGAGCAGGTGGCTCTCGCTTCTTAGATTTAGGATGAGGAGTCGCCTCTCGCCCTTGAACTGGCTTCCTCTTCAGTGAAGTGGAAGGTTTCTTGGCCGACTGCTCTTTGACTGAAGCAGGCGGTTTTTTGTTGATCAACTCTTGAATCTCTCCCTTGAAGTCCCTCATGAAGGTCATGAGTTCGTTCCTTGTGATGGGAGCAGACCCATCAGTCGGCTGTTGCCGAGCAGGCGGTGCGCCTGCTGGCTCGCTTCCTGTTTGAAGATGCTCCCGTTCCCTCCTTTCGGTATGACGGGTACGTCGGGCCCTTAGGGTCCCGTCTAGAGCTGTATGAGTTTCAACTTCAAATGCACTTTCGGTATCATGGTCCGACTGAACTTGAGGATCGTCTAGGGGACGCCTCTCTTCAAGAGTCGGTACAGACTTGGATGCCATCTCTGAAGTACTCTCCCCACAGACGGCGCCAAATGTTTCGGGGTTTTCTGATGTCCTGCGGGAGAGTTACAATTCCGAGACTGGAACCGGACGCCTGTACCTGCAAAATAACGGAGACTCCTGAGAGCTCCGCCTCCAACGGTCAAGTTAGTACCTGATTAAGGAGTAATTAATACGGAAATTAAAGTAATAAGATCTCTCTAGGTGAGAGTGCTTAGTGTTGGTAATCTGCGTCGTTAGCGAGATTAGCCGGTTGTTGGTGTTCCGTAATATCTCTGTTCTTCTCTGCTGGATTTCTTGATGTCTCGATTCCCCAACTAATGAGGATTAATAAAGTATTTATAGCCTTGAGAAGCGTGCCACTCTCTAGGTTTAAGGTAAACCTAGGGCTGATCGGGCCTCTAGACTGGATTGGGCCTTGATGGCCGGTTTTCCCATTTGGCATGGGTGGACACGTGGCGTGCCTCGATTGATCCGTAGAGGACGTATCTGTGACTGACACGTGGCAGGCTCCTATTGGCCTTCGTGAAGGACACGTGGCGGAACCTGGTTGGTCCACTTGTCAGACGGTGATTGGTGGATAAAAATCCCCTAATCAAGTTCAGTTCAGTAAAATTCAGTTTTCTTAAAGAAGAATTATAATATAAAATCAGTAAAAAATAATTTCATTTTAGCAAAATTAATTTCAATTCAGTAAAATTAATTGAAGTTCAGTAATAATTTAAGTTCAACAAATATAATTTTGTTTCAGTAAAAATATTTTCAGTTCAACAAAAATAAGGTGAAGTGGACGGGGCCTTATAGAGACTATATGAGTGATTATAGTTTTCAAATTAATTCTTACTTTTATACTCCATATTTTGTTATTTATTTCATTTCTTCATCCGAAGAGATTTAGTAGAAATAATATAAAGTAATAAAATATGATGAAAGTGGGGTTGGTTGAAAAATAAAAAAATATAAAATGAAAAAAAAAGCGGCAAAAGTGAGCATAAGTGGTAGGAAAGAAAATATGATATGAGGGGACCGTTGATAAGGAGGAAAATAGTAAAATTTTACTGCACATTAAAAGTTTCCAAAAAAGGAGCAAACTAAGTAATAAAATACGGCTATAAAAGGGAAGTGGGGCAAGTAATAAAATACGGAGGGAGCTAGTAATTCTTTCATTTTCTTTTACACATTTTTAATTTTGACACAGTTTATAAACTGTACTTTCTATTCCTCTGTAATGTTTTTTAGGTAAAATGGTTTAACTTGAGGAGATGACACCTGAAGTCTTTGGCGTAAGTCTTTGTCCTGCACCAAAGCAAATTCTTACGGAGTAGGAACAGAAAGGACAATATCTACTAGATAGTAAGACTTGGGGTGCTACAATCCATTATTCATAAGATGATGTAATTAATTGTCTATAAGATATCATTTGTTTACAGATGATATATATCATTAATTGTATAGGATTGATGATATTTTTAATATCATTTTTTTTTATTATTATTAATATTCTTACTAAAAACAGTGAGGAGGGATTTTTTTTTTTTTTTTTTTTTTTTATTTTTTTTTTTTTTTTGTGGTGAGAGTCTATAACGAAACCAATAGTAAGATGTTCCCTTTGTTGCACTGTTTTTATATTACGAGGGAATTTCCGAAATGAGACCCTATGGTAACCTCGCATAAACTACCCATGGAAAGTTGGGGAAGTAATAAAAGGTCAGAACCAGATTCACCAGTTGAGGTTGAGGGAAGAAGTAAACGACCAAGCGGCATTAAGCAAACAAAAATGAAGGCTAAACAATCCCCTTCTTCCTCTACAAGTGCAAGTCTTAACTCTTTAAACACAACTCTTGAATCTATCAGTGAAAAGAGGAATGAATTGGGAGAACGGATGCTTGAGGCATTGAAGGAACGAGGTGAAGAAAGAAAAAACAAAGGGAGGAGGCCACAAAGTTTCGTATGTTGGAAATGTTGATGCAAAAACAAGATAATAATGAAATTGAAGCACAAATGTACTTGAAGCTAAGAGACGAGTTTAGTACTAAGTTTTTGCTTTGAATAATAAGTAGTAATTGCAATTATAATTACCAATGTCAATGTTAAGGTTAGTATTGTCATTTTTATTCATTTAATGTCATAGTTTTTTAGTTATTGTTAGTTTATTGCTCTAACTATCAATAGTAGATAAAAATTCGTTTTTATTATGTATTATCAATGTTAGAAGTTGTTAGTGTAATTGTTAGTTAATTATTGTCAGTATATTGTAAGCTATTTAGTTATAACTAATATTATATTTAACAAAAGTGTAATGTTTTTAATTATGTGTCATTCATTTATAAACACTTTTATTCAATATAATTAATTGTCCAACAATATAGTAAATTTTTAAATAACATCATATGCAATGATATTCTATCCTATCTTCTACAATAATCTTACATTCTGACATATCTATCTCCAACCTTATCTTTTTACTACTAGCCTTATCTTCAAATTTGATCTACCAACACATTGTCTATAAATTGTATTCATTCATATACGTAACATCTCAAACCCACAACAACCTTTATTCAAATTTTTTTAACCAATTATCATAATTGCAATATGAACATTGATTCAAATTCATCAAGTTCAAGTGATGATCTATATGATTACATGATGATGGATTTTATTGAGGAAAGTAGTGGAAGACGCATTAAGACGCGTTGTTCAACAAAATGAACATCACCATCCAAGAAAGAAGAGGGAATCTGTTTCAAGGGATCGTGAAGCAGCTCATGATCGTTTGGTTGCAGACTACTTCAGTGATCAACCAATATACAGTGAAAATAATTTCCGACGTAGGTTTCGCATGCAAATACCTCTTTTTCTTCGCATTGTGAACACATTAAGTGCAGATTTTCGCTATTTTCAACAACATCCAGATGCAACGATGTGAATGGGTGCTTCAGCTATTCAAAACTGCACAGCAACAATAAGGATGTTAGCCTATGGTTGTGTAACTGATCAAGTTGACGAGTATCTTAAACTTGGTGCAACAACATCTAGAGAATGTCTTACACAATTTGTTGATGGAGTGATTACTCATTTTTCCACTGACTACCTTCGTAAACCAACACCCGAAGATGTCCAACGTCTTTTGAGAGAAGGGGAGGAAATAGGTTTTCCTAGCATGTTGGGGAGTATTGATTGCATGCATTGGGTGTGGAAAAATTGTCCAGCGGGGTGGAAAGGTATGTACCAAGGTAGATCTAAAACAGTAATTGTGATCTTAGAAGTTATTGCTTCAAGGGAGTTTTGGATTTGGCATGCTTTCTTCGGGACACCTGGGTTGTGCAACGACATAAACGTACTTCAACGTTCCCCAGTTTTTTATGATATTATGAACAATCGAGCTCCACAAGTCATGTTCACTGTGAATGGAATTACTTACAATAAAGGGTATTATCTCACCGATGAAATTTATTTAAAACGGTCCACGTTTGTGGATGCCATTACTGCCCCACAAACCGCTGAGCAAAGGTTGTTTACTGAACGCCAAGATAGTGCTATAGAAAAGATGTTGAGCGTGCCTTTGGTGTGCTACAAGCTCGATTTGCAATAATTGGGAAATCGGCTTTGGCATGGAACGTTGATATGCTATGGAAAATCATGACGACATATATTATAAAGCACAACATGATTGTTGAAGACGAGTGTGATACTTATTTGAATTATAAAGACCCTCGTGAGTTTTCCCAAGAACAACAGGAAAATATGGTAGGAACATCAATGGGAAACGCTACGACATTCACTGTTACACCCCGGGCATTATGATCCACATAATTTTCATAGATTGATAGATACAAGACAAGAGGTTCATGATAGAACAACTCATTTCTCATTGAAAAACGACTTGGTTGAACATTTATGGGGGAGATCCAGGAGATCGTCTGCGGATTAAATTTTTAGTGTACTATTTTATTTTAATTAGTTGCATAATGTATTTAAGGTATTTCGTTATTTTAGTACGTAATTAATGTCGAACCGTGTTATTAAAATGTGCACGTGTTTGTGTTGATCGGTTAATTACTACAAATTTTAACTTTATAAAATAAGTAATTTAAGATTACAACTCGATTTATTTTATCAATAGTAACTAAAAAAATAATTAATTAGGCTAATTTTTTTTAATCATAAATTATCGTTGTTTCAAAATTAAATGTGTAGTTAAAAAAAAAGATGATATATGGTGGGATATATAAAGTAGGAGTGAGGAAGGAAGAGAGGATCCTCTTTGATGTGTGGAAAAATAAAGAAATAAAAAGAGGAAGAGGATGGAGATAGTAGGAAATGATGTGGAAGAAAGAGAATATGATATGTTAAAAGGAGAAAAGGAGAGAGAGTAGAAGAGAGGATATAAGAGCTTGTTCTCATACATTTATTTTCAGTTCAGTTCAACCCATTTCAGTTCAGTTCACTTCAGCTCCTAATTTCCTTCTCTTATATAATATTCAGTTCAGTTCAGTTCAGTTCAGCTCAGCTCAGTTCACTTCAGTTCAGTTCAGTTCAGCCGAGTTCAGTCTATGAGAACAAGCCCTAAGTATCCTCTCCAATAATCTTGCTCTTAGAGCACACACACTGGGAAGGATATATCATCCTCCCTCCACTCTTTCTCCTCCAAAGTAGTATCCTCTTTGATGTAAAAATGTAAGAGAGGATACTACTTTCAAGAGGAATGCAATATATCCTCTATGGAGAGAGGATATTAAATGTTTGGAAGAGGATATGTTAGTGGACCCAAACTCATTTTTTTTAATATTTTTTGCCTTTGTGTGTCACTGATCAATGAAATTTTGTAGAAAGGACAAAAACAAAGCTAGAAACTTGATGCAAGGGGCCCATTGCATGCATGCAGTAAAACTCAACAGCTATATTTTAACCAAAACCAACGGCTATATTTGTATTTGAAATCCAACATTTTGGTGACTATATTAACAGTAATTTAAAATTTCTAAAGGTAATAAATAATAAAAATAATTTTTTGCCTCTATATAACGAACCCAAATTTAACCATATTTCATACATTTTATCCTTTTTTACCTCTCTTTTCTAATTATCATATAATCCTTCTTTTATTTTTTTTCAATATGGATAGAAATAATCCAAACCACGTGCACAACTTAAATATTCCGTTTAATCAAAACTCCCAATATAATCCAAACAATGTCCAATTTGATCCAAATATCCTCCATAACCCTCAATTTTAAGCTGCTTTTCAATGGATTGCTAATCAACCAAGACCAATGAATCCAAATTACGCACCCCAATTTCAACAACCTGTTTCTCAAGAGACCCAATCATTTCCCATGTCTCAACATTTCAGTCAATTTAATGAGAAATCTCCCGGAGGGGTTGGTAGTAGCAATTCAACTCCAATAGTAGAATTACGAGGAGCACAACATCTAGAAGATATTGAAGAGATTGATGTTGAAGTTGTTCCCCAAGAAATTTTCACCAATGCTAAGCAGAAGAATAATGCAGCACAATATAATGTAGATGAAGATAAAGCGCTTGTATCAGCCTACATCAACGCCGGAGGTGATGTTCTTCGGAACACGAACACCAAAAAAAGCGAGTTATTTGCAGAAATTATGAAGCTCTACGAGCCTGCTAGAGAAGATAATTCTAATATTCGTCCAAGAACGATCAAATCTATGCAAAATCGTTGGGACCATATCAATGAACATGTTTCAAAATGGGTAGATGTGTATGGTACTCATTTACGGGAGGAAAAAGTGGCGAAACAAAATTTAGAGCAACTTGCTAACAAAGATTATTAAACCCCCTCCTTATTTTTGTCTTTCTATTATAATCATGGCACCAAAGAAGTGAAGTTGATAACCTCGCGGGAGAAGTGTGTTGGAAATATTTCCAACTTTAATTTTAAGTATGTGGTTTATCTCACTGATAAGTGTTTTATTTGTCCACTTATCATGGAATTTTAAACACAATTTTGTACTCTTTCCCCTACTATAATCCCTTTTTCCTAACTCCTTTTATGGCGATTTGCATCTTTTGGCTTCCCCGTTTCTTTTTATGTGTGTGCTCGTGTTTGTAGGTGCAATGAGAATGTGGTTAAGTAGCATGAGCTTGAAGACTTTCTCGAGAGAGCATTTACCAGGTAGGAGCGGGCGTGCACCTTTAGAGGAGCGGCCGCTCCTCATCCCAGCATCACAATCTGCCTACCCCATGCACTATAAGGAGTGGGCGCTCCTCCCTGAACTCCTACATTCTTCCATCCACCTGTAGTAAGGAGAGGGCGCGCAAAGAGATAGGAGCGGGCGCTCCTCCTGTTCAGAAGCCCGATTTTGACGGATTTTATAATGTAGTTTTTGGGCGTATAAATATGACGCTTGACTTCAGTTTTTGGGATCGTCTTTCCCTTTAGTTTTCTTAGGCCCTTAGTTTCTCTAAACTCTCATTTATAGTTTAGATCTTCTCAAACTCAATCATTGTAGTAGATTAATTGAAGATTGTTCTCTTGAATTCAACAATTTCTCAACCTTGAAGCATTTTAAGTAATCTCTTTCCTCTATCTCTTACTCTCTAATTTCAGTTTTTTATTTACTTTGAATTGTTAATTTCTCTCTTGATCTTGTTTAATTGTTATTGCATGTTCAATCTACTTTATTCCCACTACTTCTCTCAACTTGTTAATTTAATTCTAGAATTAGAACTTGTTGTTAGGATGTCCTTCATCATGTTTAGTGAGTAGTTAATTAGCTAGGGGTTGGGTGAAGACCCAACAAAGCCATAGGTTGATTGATGTTTGTGCTTGCATATTCATTTTGGGATGATGATTGATTGTTAAGGGATTAGTTAATTGCATGTGTAGTTGATTGGCCACTTATTGCTCATGTATTCACTTCTATGTTAGGATTGAAAGATGGAGTCTAGTTGTGAGCCCACTCTTATATGATTATGCTAAATTCCTCTTGATTATATTATGGTTCCTTGTTTGAATGATGTAGTAATCTTAGTTGCGAAAATTAGGTGAGAAATCCCAATTGTTTGTGCCTTAATGCTTTCTTGGAATGATCGAAAGACAAACCTGAGTTAGTAGTCTACTTCCCGTTATTAAGACTTGGTTGTCCTATCTTGTTAGTTGAGTTTTGTTTAGGAATGCTTAGTGTTGTGGCTTCGAAAGAAGGCAATGTTGAGTGCCCTCTCTATCACCCAATTTGTGTTCATGCTTGCCTATTCATTTGATCCATTGGTTTGGTTGGAGTCGATCCCTATTTCCCCCTAGTGTTTGTCTCCATAGTAGTTGTCTAATCAAAACCCCCAATTTGTGACCGAACTAGATTGCAACCGTTTCATACTCTTGGTGTCCTTACCCATTCCCTGTGGATACGATCCTTTGCTTACCCTAGACTTGTCTTAGGTTGGTTTAGGTAGAAATATTGTTTGGTTTTAGGGTGATTGTCCAACGACCGATTATTCCCTCTACCAAAATGGCGCCGTTACCGGGGAATGGCGTTAAGCATTGAGTTACTTATGAGATATGTGAGCCTAGGTCATTTGTATAGCTTTATTTTTTTTTCTTTGTTTTCTTTGACTAACCTACTAATATCCCATCTAGTCTTCTTTGTTTATGCCCAAATGCAGCAATAGGACATTTCCTCTTGTGCCGTTGAACCTCGAGCTTGAAAAGGTTGTTAGGGAAAATGGAAGAGAACAGAGGGAGATAGCTAGCGGTGCTACTTCAAGTGAACCGCAAGTTGAGGTTGAGTCCGATCATTCTAGTTCTATGAATCTAGTGGAGGCACCATTCCATTAGAATCACCAAGGACAAATTCTTCAACTTCTCCACCTATCCGCCAATTCGACATGGCTCAACCGAACAAGACTTTGAGAGAATTTGGTGTCCCTCCTCCTTATCAAGAAGCAAGTGGGACTGCTACTCCCGCTATCGAAGTAAATAACTTTAAGATAAGGCCCGCCCTTATCACCTTGATTGAGGGTCATCAATTCTCCGGGGCCAAGCATGAGGAACCCATTGCACATCTTAAGCAATTTACACGGTATTGTATCACCATGAAGGCTAATTGGGTGACTCCAGAGTACATCCTTCTAAGTATGTTCAAATTTTCTCTCACGGGGAGTGCAAGTGATTGGCTTGATAGGTTGTCTCCGAACTCATTGAACACATGGAATGAGGTGACTTTGGCATTCCTTGGGAGGTTCATTCCTCTTGGGAAAACGGCGGAGTTAAGGTCCAAGATTTTGAACTTTCAACAAGAGCCCGATGAGTCTCTCTATGATGCTTGGAAGAGATTCAAGAGCTACCAACAACAATGCCCTCAACATGACATGGAGAATTGGCTCTTTCTCCATGGGTTTTTTAGAGGTCTTTTGAGAGCGGACCGAATACTCTTAGATGGAGCATCGGGAGGACCTATCATAAACAAGCCACCAACGGAGGCACTAAAGATCATAGAGGATGTAGTTCAAAACTATACCGATTGAGAGAAGCACTTCCAAGAAAGGAGGAAAGTATGAGGTAAATGCTATCAACATGATTAATTCAAAATTAGATTCTTTATCTTCTAAGTTTGATCA